GCCAGTGGAAAGGAGACCATTGAAAAGACTCCCACCAGCAGGGTCAGAAAAGAAGAGGAACTAAATACACAAACATTTCCTCTGTCTCCCCTACATGCAGGCTCTATGCAAGGCTCTTTGCAGAGGTCACTGAGTGCTCACCAAAAAACACATACAAAACACTGAGAAATGCAGTGTTCCCAATAAGAGAAACCAAAGTTCAAAATCATACTGTTAGTCAATGGCAGGGCTGAGAAAGAGTGCAGGGAGCCAGTGGGCACTGAATGAATGAGTGAATGAGTGAATGAATGAATGAATGAATGAACAAATAAGGAAGTCAATTGTTACACTAAGAGCTGAGTTAAAAAGTCAAGAGTAAACAGAAATCAGGAATGATGGTGTAAAGGTAGGAATAGTAAAACAAACCACTATAATCATCATCATCATCTTGATATTTGCAAAGTACTATGCTAACCAGGTATATATATTACCTTATTAATCTTCATATATATAATTTACTCCCCATTTTACAGAGGGCAAAACTGAGGTCCAGCGTTATAGGTGATGGATGTGCCCTAGGTCACACAGCTGAAAGTAACTGAGCCGGGACCCAAATCCATGCTCTTAACCTCTGCACTACAGTGCCTGGTGGTTTTGGGGTTCAGTCCCCCTAGGTCTTACAGAAGCAGGAGCCTGGGGGAGCCCTGATGAGCTTCACTGAACCACCCAGTGAGGCTGACAGGGGCAAGGAAACCAGAAGAGCCCATGAGCTAGGAGACAGAAGGAAGCAAAATCTTACATGTGTTTGTGGGCTAAGGGCAAAAGGTGGCTCAGGGGGAGGGCACTAGTTAGTGGGAGAGGTGGACAGCCAGGGGTTTGGGGTCAGAGAGAGGAAGTATAGAGTTGAAGGCTGGAGAGGGAGAGAGAAGGCAAGGTCCAAAATGCAGTTTGCTTGTTCTTGGCAGATGTCAACCAGGGACTCACTTTTCTCAGCCAGTATTTCCTAGACCAGGTTCTATGGGACATGGATGCTGAGAGAAACTGAAAAAATAAGGTTCAGTTATCAAAATAATTTGGGAAACACAGCATACTGTTTGCCCAGCTGTGGTAAATCCACAATGATCAGATTAGGAGCTCATTATCATATTAAAGGCTCTGATTAATTTTGTGGTAAAGAAATCTGCTTGACTTTGATTAACCCAGATTTCTCAAACCTATTTGCCCCCAAAACCTTTAAACACATCAAACCTACAGAGATCTCAAGGAATTGGTATTCTGTAGAAATATACACTGGAGACTATTTTCAGACCATGAGCTCCTGGGGGAGGGATTGTGTTTAAGTTACATTGGTAGTCTACACAAATTCTACATACAGTAATACAGTAATACCAGACAGATGGTGGTGAGGATGAGTATATGGATAGTGAATAGATGCACAGCTGATGGATGGATGGATGGATGGATGGATGAGTGGATAAATGTTGAATGAATGATGACTGGAAAGATGGATGGACAGATGGACAAAAAAGATGAATGGACAAACACAACTGGATAGAAAATTAGGCAGCTGGGTGGGAATCCGGGAAATCAGGAGATGATATCTATAGCTTACTACAATCTGGACACTCATGAGGGGTTTTACTTCAAGGGTTGGCAGATTTTTTTCTTTAACAGGCTAGAGAGTAAATATCCTATATAATAAAAGCCTAATATGCAAATCAACTGAACGGCGGAATGACTGGCAGAACAACTGGTCACTATGATGCACACTGATCACCAGGGGGCAGATGCTCAATGCAGGAGCTGCCCCCAACCCGCAGGCCCCAGGCCAGCCAAGGTGGGTGCCAGCAGGGGCCCCCCAATCGCCCTGCCAGTTGCCCCACAGATCAGCCCCGATCGACAGCCAGGCCTAGGGACCCTACCCACGCATGAATTTCATGCACCAGGCCTCTAGTTTTAAATATATTTTTATTGATTTCAGAGAGAGGAAGGGAGAGGGATGGAGAGAGAGATAGAAACATCAATGATAAGAGAGAATCCCACTGGGGATCGAGCCTGCAACCCAGGCATGTGCCCTGACCAGTAATTGAACTGTGACCTCCTAGTTCATAGGTTGATGCTCAACCACCAAGCCAAGTCAGCTGGGTGAGAGTAAATATTTTAGGTTTTATGGGCCACAAACCAAGTCTCTGTCACATATTCTTCCTTTTTTAAAAAAATTATTATTATTTAACTGAGGCCCGGTACACAAAATTCGTGCCGGGGGGTGGGTCCCTCAGCCTAGCCTGCACCCTCTCCAATCTGGGACCCCGGGGGATGTTTGACTGCTAGTTTATGCCTGATCCCTGTGGGCAATCTGGGACTGCTGGCTCCTAACCGCTCACCTGCCTGTCTGCCTAATTGCCTCTAACCACTCTGCCTGCCTACCTGATTGCCCCTAACCACTCTGCCTTCCAGCCTGATCACCCCTAACTGCTCTCCCCTGCCGGCCTGATCACTCCTAACTGCCTCTGCCTCAGCCCCTGCCACTGTGGCTTTGTCCAGAAGACGTCCAGTCTAATTAGTATATTACCCTTTTATTAGTATAGATCTTTTATGAATATAAAAACTATTCTTAGTTATAGGTCATAGGCTAGTTTTGGCCTGTGGGTCATAGTTAGCCAACCCCTACTGTGCTTTGATGTAACATATCTATGAGCCTCTATCATAGCCTGTCCTTACACAGGAGTCAGGGAAAAGACAAATGAGTATAGGCCCCCCTCAGCAGAGGAGGAAACTCTTACTATTCCACAGCTAAAGATGTCCACTCGCTTTGTCAACTGCCCCACTTTAATGAAATCTTCTGGCAGATATGCAGCTGAGGCCTGGAAAAGATGGGTCTTCATCCTGGTATATTTTGACCTTTTATTGTCAGGACACAGGTGAGACTTTGGATGAGCCAGCATGGGAGTGAAGTTTTGATCTAGCAAAACATTGGAGCTGTGGAAAAGAAAAGAGAGAGAACCTTTTCATTTGGGGCTGGACAAGAAGAGGTTGCCATGGAGACGCTTTTGGGAAACAACCAGCAATGAGCTGCAGTAAGTTAGGGTTACTGAAACCCTCAACATGGAGTTTCTGAGAGAGGAGCCCACTCCGAAAAGCCAATGAAGATGGAGCTGAGATTAATCCTGGTGCCTTGAGAATGGCATTCAGTGTGGTCAAAGAGGTGCAGCCATCCTGATCCCCACAGATGTCCACCCCAATCACCCCCAGCTGGACAAGCCCATATAGGCTATGTTGGCTCAGTCCCTCTGAGGCTGTTCCGATCCCCAGCTCTGGCCCAGCTAACTCAAGTCTAAGGGCCAGCATCCTTCGTGACTGAACCTGTCCAGATTGGAGAAAATAAGAGCAATAAAAATATTCTTGAACCTAGTCATCTAAACCATGGGAGTGAACTCTCAGAAAGTACTCCAAAAGTGAGGGGGGACAACAAACTCAGCTATGTGTACAAATATTCAATACAGAACTAACCCTCTGAGAGTTTTTTTAAAAAGTAGACACCAATTCTAATGTCCACTATTAGGAGTGGGTAAGTAAATTATGGGTAATCCGTGCAATGGAAGCCTAAGAAGTCACTGGAAATAATGACATGCAATGTGGAAAAATGTTTACCATATTTAAGTGAAGCAGGGGAAGAGAATATGAAATGGTAACCAGGTAACTGGGCTACTTTAGGGCCAAGACTTCTGTGTGGGAAGGGGCTGAGAAAAGAAACAGAAAAATGGGAGCCAACTGATGAGTCAGGGAGGTGAGCCAGGACAACCACAGTCCTTCTGTTTCCTGTTTTGCTATTACTGTTGTTTGTGCAATCAAATAAGAATCAATGGGGAGAGACAAAAAAAAGGGGCTTCCCCTTGTCAAATGGAGAGAGGACTTTTGGGGAAGTGTGGGTTCTATGGTTTCAAGCTCAATTTTGCCAAATTCTCTGATATCTTCTGGAATCTCTTCCCATGTTGCCAGTCCCCAAATGCAGAACTCTTGCTCTTGGATGGTTGGGACGTGATAGCTGGGATGTACACTAACCAGCAGGAAGCCTCCCTAACACGAATTACTTTCACCAACAGGTATACACGCGGGGGAGGGGGTCTCCAAGAAGACCCTGAGCACAGAGCTCAAAATCCCAGGGGAATTGGCAGATATGACCCAGACTTCAAGGACCAGGTGCAGACCAGCTGGACGGATGGAAAGTAAACTTCATGGGTGTGGGGTGCGTGTTGGGGAAACACCAGCTTAGAAAGACGAATGTGGTGACAGGTAGGCAGTTTGTGCTGACAGCAGCCAGAAACACTGATTTTTGAGGATGTAACAAAGAAAGGGAGACCCAAAGGAGGTGAGGTGGGGAGAGAAAGGCAAAGAGAAGAGAGACAGAGGGAGAGGAAGGGTGCCCTGGAATGTGGTCCTGTCTCATCCCTGCAGCCAGAGCCCTTGGCAGGGTCCAGCCCACCTCTCTCACCTCTTGATGTTGCTGTGGATGATCTCCAGGCTGTGAAGGTGCTCCACGGCACGAAGCAGCCCTGAGACGATGCTGATGCGCTGGGGCCAGAGGAGGGGGTCTGAGTCACCCTGAGAGAAAGAAAAGAGGTGAAACAGTGACACCTGCTCCTTTTAAAGTCCCAATGGCAGGGTCCCGGGATCCTGTCTCTCCTCCAGCCCTTCCTATCCTCTGCAACAGCGCTCGACCCGCATGGTCTACTGGCAGGGGGACCGGTTTTGACATCTGACGGGTCTAGGTGGAAATCCCAGCTCAGACGTGCACTAGCTGTATGACTCTAAGCCTCACTTCCTTCAGATTAAAATGGAAATGTTAATCCCTATGCTTTAGGGTTGTTGTAAGGATTTAAAGAAGTGTGCGGTATGTCCCTAGCATGCGGTCTGCCACACAGTGGGTGCTCAACAAACGGCAGCTATTTTTATGACTGTTACAGTGGCAGCTCTGGAGTTTTTCTCTAAGTGGGGCTTGTTGGGAAAGGAGCTAGGGAGCTTGTGTTGGCACACCAGGCCCTGGACCTTATGCCCATTTTATGTATATATATATATATATTTGGGGAGACTTCACAAGGGATAATGGACATTGTGGGGTGGGCTAAATTCCACTCCCTTTCCTCAGGTGCTACCACTGTTTTTCTAAGACTGAATCTACAAGCTAAATCATCACTTATTTCTCGAGTCCTGTCTTAGGTCCCACATCCTCTAAGAACTGGCCTTGCTCATTGATTTCTTCTCAAAAACTCTGAAATATGGAGCCACGAAGAAGAAATAAAGGGCATCAAAATTGGAAATAAAGAAGTAGAACTGTTCTTATTCGCAGATGACATGATATTGTACATAAAAAACCCTAAAGACGCCATCAAAAAACTATTAGACTTAATAAATGAATTCGGCAATGTAGCAGGATACAAAATTAATGCCAAGAAATCTATGGCATTTCTATATACCAATAATGAACTTACAGAAAGAGACTAAAAAAGTAATCCCATTTACCATCACACCAAAAAAATTAAGATATCTAGGAATAAACTTAGCTAAAGAGGTAAAAGACCTCTACTCAGAAAACTATTGAGACCCACTGGTCAATAGAGGATCCAGAAATTGACCCAAGCCATTATACTCAATTAATATTTGACAAAGGAGGCAAGAACATACAATGGAGTCTAGACAGTCTCTTCAATAAATGCTGTTGGGAAAATTGGACAGATACATGCAAAAAAATGACACTAGACCAATAACTTACACCATACACAAAAATAAACTCAAAATGGATAAAGGACTTAAATGTAAGACGAGAAACCATAAAAATACTAGAGGAATCCAAAGGCAACAAAATCTCAGACTTATGCCGAAGCAATTTCTTCACCAATACATCTCCTCGAACATTGGAAACTAAAGAGAAAATAAACAAATGGGACTACATCAAAATGAAATATGGAGCCACATGAAACCAGTTCAAACCCTAGTCAGCTGTGTTCTTTTGGGCAAGTCGCTTTGCCTCTCTGTGCCAGACACTCCTCTTTTAGAAAATAGTAAAACCTGTTGGGTTGGGACAAGGTCTGGAGGAGACATGTGTAAAGCCCTTGTCACAGTGTCTTGCACACAGGAAGAGCTCAGCAAAACTAAGGATCATTATCATACCATGAATAACTGCTTTACTTGGACCCTGCCAAAGGAAGTAATCATTCCATGTGGAATAATTGTTTTTCCCGCTGAGGATTTTATGGGAGGGATGTTTGCTTTTAAAATTGTAATTTTCCCCAGCCAGCGTGGCTCCAGTTGAGTGTCGACCTATAAACCAGGAGGTCACAGTTCAGTTTCTAGTCAGGGCACATGCCTGGATTGTACACTCAATTCCCAGTGTGGGTGTACAGAAGGCAGCCAATCAATGATTCTCTCATCTTGATGTTTCTCTCTCTCTCCCTTCCTCTCTGAAATCAATAAAAATAGATTTTAAATAAAATAAAATTGTGATTTCATCACTTCTCAGCCTTTTGGCTAAGCTCAAGTGATAAAACTGTAATTTTTGTTGTTGTGTTGTTAATCCTCACCCAAGAATATTTTTTCCATTGATCTTTAGAGAGAGTGGAAGGGAGAGGAAGAGACAAAGAGAGAGAAACATTGCTGTGAGAGAGACACATTGGTTGCTTCTCACATGCGCCCCAACCAGGGATTGAGCCTACAACTGAGATACATGCCCTTGACCAGAATCGAACCACAGCCCTTCAGTCTGTGGGCTGACACTCTAACCACTGAGCAAACCGGCTAGGGCTAAAATTGAAATTTTAATAAGTATTTATTTTGAAATAAAATTTTGCCTCCACTTTTCCATACTTTGTATCTTTTTTAAAAATGTTTTATTGATTTTTTACAGAGAGGAAGGGAGAGTGATAGTCAGAAACATCGATGAGAGAGAAACATCGATCAGCTGCCTCCTGCACACCCCCTACTGAGGATGTGCCCACATCCAAGGTACATGCCCTTGGCCAGAATCGAACCTGGGATCCTTAAGTCCACAGGCTGATGCTCTATCCACTGAGCCAAACTGGTTAGGGCCTTTGTATCTTTTAATTATTTTTCTTGTCCTATTGCATTGGCTATCACCTCCAGAACAATGTTGAATAAATTTAGTGCTATGGGATACTTTATCTTGCTCTTGACTTAAATGAAATGCCTGTTGTCAAATAACATTTTTATAGGGTTTTACCTGAAGATGTTTAGCCAGATCTTATGTATCCTGGACTAACTTCTCTTGAAGGGCCTCTCTCTCTCAGGACTCTTATATGTCCTTAACCATTGATTCTCTAACTGGGTACTGCCTGGTTCTGTTCTCTGACCATGACCCAGCCTCTTACCTGGCACCGGAGTCTGTCTTGTAAAGAACCATTTGCCATGTAGGGGTAGATCAAGCTGTAAAACTGTTTTCCAGTGCAGACGCCCAGCAGAGGTAAGACATTGGGGTGGCAGCATCTGAAATCAGGCATAGTGCAGAGGCGAGGAGTCAGACAGAAAGAGTAATCAAAGACTGCCCCAATTCCTCACCTCCCACACCTCTTACGCCCTCTCCACTGCCCTGAGGGCCCAGCACCAGAATAGAAAGATGAAAACTGTGTGCCTTCAAGGAGCTAGAAGCCAAGTTGCTTGAACTTATCCTGCCTCCCTGCTCTGCAGCATATGACACCTTAACCACTCCATCTTCTGGAAGCAGAGGCTTAGAGACTAAGGAACTTGCCAAGGTTATAGCTAGCAAGCAGTGAAGCCAGGATAAGATTGCAAGTCTGCTTGACTCCCAGGGCTGGAGTTCTTCCCCAAAATCCTCTTCCACTAAGCCTAAGTCATCCATTCCTTCTGTCTCCTCTTAGCCTCTTAACCACTCTTTCTTGGCCATTTTCCCTAAGACGCTCCTCTTTCACCTCCTTCTGAAACCTGAGTCTCCCAGGCAGGGCTCCGCATCTTGTATTATAAGTTGTTCCTCTAGGTAAGTGGTTCTCAACCTTCTGGCCCTTTAAATACAGTTCCTCATGTTGTGACCCAACCATAAAATTATTTTCATTGCTACTTCATAACTGCAATGTTGCCATTGTTATGAATCGTAATGTAAATACCTGATATGCAGGATGGTCTTAGGCGACCCCTGTGATAGGGTCGTTCGACCGCCAAAGGGGTCACGACCCACAGGTTGAGAATCGCTGGAATAGAGTCAATCCCTTTAGAGCAGCCCAAACTGTGAGTGCAACGTTTAATGCCCAGGGCTCTTAAGTGATCGCCAACCAAACAGCCCTGAGCCAAG